TGATAGTAAAAAAATTGAATTAAAAAAAATATTTTCAATAGAAAAAGTTTATATGAATAAAAAATTTATTTTTTAGATTAATTGTTTAATGATTTAATTAAGGAATGGTTTTTTCAATATCTCTCTTGCTTTATACAACTTAGATGCTTTATTGTAAGTTGATTTTATGGATCTTTTTTCAAAATATGAAGATAATTTTGTACAATTTGGACCAATATCATTCACGAGCTTCTTAAGCAAATTAATATCTTTCAATGACCATGGACATTGCTTCGTAATCTTTTCTTTGTATCTATTTTGAATGTTAGGTACCGTGGCAGGATTGACATATATATCTGAGCTTATAATATTTTTTTAAATATTTTTTTAAAGTGAATTTTTAATATTTTAATATTTTAAAAAAATAATGAATTTTTAATATTTTTTAAAACGCATGCATAGCTTTTTATTCCTGATTCTATACTATATATAAATGAAATTTTATTCCAAAAACTTTCAAATTGAAGGACTACATATATTTTGAAATTTACGAAAAATAAGCCAAAAAACGCAAATTTCAAAATATATGTAGTCCTTCAATTTGAAAGTTTTTTGAACCAAAATATAAATATAAATGATTCAGTGTATAGAATAAAAAACAATGCAAGCGTTTTAAAAAATATCTAATATTCATGTTTTTTTTTAAAAAAAAATAAGGTTTACAATTATAATCATATATCATATTCACTTTGAAATATTAAAAAATTGATAGTTAAATCGTTTATAATAGCTCATTTCTAATGTTAATCCTCATCGGAATTCAAAAATTAAGATTTGGAAAAAAGAGATATTATGAGATCATCTTGTCGATGAAGTTCAATTTTTTTATTGTTTTAATAAAATATGTGGTATATAACAATCATAAATATATCTTTTCTGAACAATGTATATAACGAGATATTGCAAACGAACTACCCCCTTAATACAATTTTTGGGGCTTATTTCGCATAATTTTCAATAACAATGATAAAAAAAACTCGGTAATGTATAAAGATATAAATAAGCAAGAATTACAAATTTTTATAAAATTTACGAAGATTAATAGGAATCATTAAAATAGCAGACAAATGAAATCTTATTGAAAATTCTGTTAAATTTTCATTTAACTCAATAATATTCACTGAACTCTCATAAAATTCATCTAAGTTAATTTCCAAAACATTTGTTGGAATTGAAATAGAATAGAATCTATTATTTTGAAATGCATGATATCCAATAATATTCAATTCTGAATCATCCTCGAATTCAATACTTTTCAATTTGCAATCACAAAAAGCACAATTATAAATTCTCACTACATTTCTGGGAATTTTAATTTTGTCCAAACGAGTGAACCAAAAAGCATAAGATCCAATTGTTTGCAGTTCACAATTTTGAACGAATTCAATTTTTAATGAATGGAGTAAAGAATTAAAAGCATAATATTGAATTTTATTTACATGTAAAGGAATTTGTATATTTTCAAGAGAAGAACAAGAAAATGCATAACTTTCAATGATTTTTAATTTTGAATCTTTTTCAAACCAGACATTTTTTAAAGAACGACAAAACTCGAAGGCAAAGTGGTCAATTTTTTCAATGAACGAGGGAATAGTTGCATTTATGATATTTCTACGTGCAAACAAAAGAATGTCATAAATATCACTTTCTAAGTTTGTTTTTCCAATGATGAAGTCATTGTTGTAAAACATGATATTTTCTTTTTGGCATTTGATAATTTTAATTGAATTTAATTTCATAACTCCACTACACCATCCTCTACACAAATCAACAACAGAAGAAGGCAAAACGAGGCTTTCTAAAGAAGACTCATTAAAAGCGTTTGATTCAATTATTTTCAATTTTGAATCATTCAAAAATTCAATTTCTTTCAATTCCTTACAATTATCAAAACAATAGGAACAAATCCGAGTGACACTTGATGGAAATGTTATGTAATGCAATTTAGTCTTACAAAATGAAAATGATTCAATTTTAGATAAAATTGAATTGCTTTGAAATTGAATGCTTTCAAGCATGCAACGTTTACAAAAAGCATATTTTTTGATTGTTTTTATATAAGATGGAATTAGAGCAGTTGTAATATTGCCATTTGATCTCAAAATAGCATCAAAATTATCTTCTTGAAAATTTGTTTTTGTTAAAATTAGTTTTTGTTGATCATCTGATAATTTAATGTTTCTTTTCTTGCATGTCATAATTCTAATTAATCTCAAACGCTTCATTGCTATGAAATAAACTTCTTCAATGCATGTTGGAATTGTGATAACATCAAGCACACAGTTATCAAAAGCGTGTAAATCAATTTTTTTGATTTGAGTGTCTTTTGTAAACAGCAATTTATCGATTTTACAGTAAGAAAATGAAAATGGACCAATTTCAGTTACACTGGGTGGAATAACAATGCAGGAAAGATTGGCACAAGAAAAAGATGTTATTTGAAAAAATGAAAATTCTGATTTTTTTTGAAATTTTATCGTTTTGATGGTTGAATCATTATTTATAGCATTGCTTGAAATGCTTTTTATGATATATTCTTGTGATTTATAATGAATTGACCTAGGAAACATCACGTTTTTATTCGCTTTAAATTCTCGATATATTGATGCTGTTTTTTCTTTTTTGTTTAAAACATAGGAAAAATTCCCTTGGACAACAACTTCATGTGTTATATTATAAATAGCATCCAGTTTGGAATTATGGCATGCTTCCAATAATAATTCTTTATCTTTGAAATGAGGAGAAAAAATGTCAAGTTCATTTCCATGAAACAAAATATAAATGATTTTTTGGTATTTTGTTTGATAATAATCTGCAAAAACTTGTTTTTTTCCTCTTATGAATTCCAAATTTAGATGTTGGAGTGTAATAATTGATGATTTTAAATTTGATGGTTTGTGTTTGTAATATATTTGTATAAGAGGTTTCATTATATCAAATTCTTTGCTTAGATGATCATATTCCAAAAAATTATCATAGTTGATATCAGGTACTTCGCGATTTATTAAATATTTATGGAAACCAGATAATACACTTTTACTTACCTTTGATTTTACTTTATATTTTCGTTTTGAAATCAATTTCGAGTAAATATTTGAATCAATGTTAATTAAAAATCTGCAATTAGAAGGTATTATAAATTCTCCTTCTTGAGAAATCAATTTTATCGTGAATTCTTTATTTAACATCCATAAAAATTGAATTTCTGCCCTTTTTCTTTGGAAAAATATGGAAAATAAGAAAAAAAAAAAAATAAAAGGTTAATATTGACCTTAACCTCCAAGGTGAAAAAAATTGTCCTTTTATTACTTTTATTCAAAAATCTTTATTTTTTACTTTTTCAATTGTCATATTTTTTATATTTTAAGTTCAAAATTTTTTTGTGAAATTTGACTTCATTATTTTATTTAACAAGAATCAAAAAAGGATGGAAAAATTCTACATTTACAGTGACTTGCAAATTTTATTATTATCTATGTATAGTGATGAAGAAATCATCCAGGTCAAAGAATTTATTGAAACAAATAATTTGTTCGAAAATACAAGAAAATCACTTTCTACAATGAAATTAATTGCATCAATTGTCTATGCAAGACCTGAACTTATTGATAATATTATTAAATTGTTATCATATTTTGAAAATATTGAAATTGAAAATTATCCACCTAGATATAAATGGTTATCACATTTCACAGTAATTTGGAGATATAAACTAATTGATTATCTTTTATATTATTCACCAGAAAAAGATTCAGAAATATTTGATAGCGATATTAATTTAGATAATCCCTGCATCAATGCAATATATGACGATGATATTGAACAACTTCAACAATTAATTTCACTTAATAACATTAACTTGAATGAACCAATTTCATATTTTTATAATTTTAAAAAGAGTTTATACAATAATGCTACTTTACTTCAATATTCAGCTTTATTTGGTTCTATTAAATGTTTTAAATATCTCTTAATGAATTCAGAAAATACCGATTATGATTCTTTGTTGAAATATTCTATTGCAGGTGGAAACTATGGTATTATTCATATAACAGAAAATGGAATTCAAAATCCATATACAAAGTCGAATAATAATCTTTTGTATTTAGCAATTCAGCATATGAATAATGATTTAATCGAATATATAATCGATAATTATGATATAAAAATAAATGCAGAATGTTATATACAATGTATATATTCATCCAATTACGATGCATTTTTAGCAATCATGGAAATTGATGAAAATAAAAACATCAATGAATATGGTGAAATTGGATCAACTCCTTTAGATATTGCTGCATTTGAAGGATATCTTAATTTCACAAAATTTTTGTTTTCTTTAAATGTAGTTGATGCTTTTAAATTGAATAATTATGGTCATAGTATTCTTCGTTCTGCAATGAAAATGGAAAATATTGATACTGTTAAATTCATCATCAAACACAATTATCTTAGTAATAATTATAATTACAAGTTTCAAGATTATTTTTATGCTTATTTTTTTTGTAACAAAAATATTTCAAATTTATTTACAATTAAAAGTAATGAGGATGATTACTTATATGATGATACTGATGATTTTATAGAAGAAAATCATTGTTATATAAAATTCATGAAATTGAGAAATTTGTCAAAATTCAATAATAATTTGAAAAGCAAAATAGAACGAAATAAACTTTTTAAAAAGCAAATTAGAGAATATCAAAAAACTTTTGTTATCGATGACCAATAAAATAAAATATTTATTGAAATATTATTTCACTAATATATTGTCTCCAACTATTTTTCCCCAAAAAATAGTGATTGAGCAAAATTCTCATTTATATTTATTATATTTCTAAAAATTAATAAATTTTGAATAAATAATTATTGTGAATATTAACCCGGACCAATAGAACTTTTTGTTCTTCTAATTCTATGAAATCAAATTTTTTTCTCAAGAATTCTATAAAAAAAAATTCTCTTGGTCGGAGTCGAACCGACATCTCAGGCTTCACCAACCTGTGTAATTTACCGTTAAACCACAAGAGAAGGATATTTTTATAAATTGAATATGATTAAAAATTTTTTTTTCATTCTTTGTGCATTTTTCTAATAAATTCTTTGAGTCCATTCTATTGCGTTGTCAATAAAAATGATAAGATATTAGAACAAACTTAGAAAGATAAGTCACAAAGACTATGAAAACAAACTTCTTTGTGTTTGATTCTTAATGATAATAAATTTTTTTGAGAAAACAAAGCTATTTCAAAAAAAAAATTATTTATTTTTTATTTAAAAATTAATTTTTATTAAATTAAAGGTTAGTTGGATCTTCAGTTGTTGGCTGAGTTCCACTGTTGTTATCAGCGACTTCATCTTCATTAAGGTCACTTGCGTAGTTACCTTGCTCTTTTCTTAAAACGACGACGACAATAATGGCAACAACAACGACAGCGGCAACAGTAACACCGACGATCAATCCAACATTATTCTTCTTCTTTCCGCCTTGATCGTCTCCTTCGAGTTCGTGGTCATTTTCTGGGTCAGCTACGTGTCAGTCTGTTTGGATGTTCACGTCTGAATCAAATCCGGAAACCAAAGACTCTTTGTTATCGACGCAAATGTCGTCCTTGACGGCTAAAACGGCACCTTCATCCTTTTGAAGTTGGATGTATTTGGCGCCAGAAAGAATTTCTTCAGCCTTGTTAAATGAGAAGGAGTTTGAATTGAATTCAAGTTGACCAGATTTCTTCAAATTGATGAACAATTGTTGTGTTTGTGTAACTGGTTCACTTCTGAATCTATTTCCTTCGATGACGACTGGTTTAACTTCATTTTCGTCGTCTTTGATCATCTTTCTATTCTTACTGAATGAAGAAACTTGTTCTTGATTTGATACGAAAGCATACAAAGAAGTTCCTTGTGCCTTGGTTGATTTGCAAGTATTGTTGATGAACAAGTTCTTCTTCATTTCTGAGTTCGCACATGGTGAATAATAGAAAGCACCGCCACTTGTAACAGCTTGATTGTTTTCAAATTCGCATCTCTCAAATGATGACTCACATGAAGGATTAGTTTTATTTCAGGATTTATAAAATAAACTATTTAAAAAGTTATTATCGTTTTTAGATTTTGATACTTAAAATACCACATAAAAATGGACAAATATGTCCCAAAAACCATAATAATCGAAATAATTATTCCTTTTATATTAGTTGCTATTATTTTTTCTAATTTTACCAAAAATTTATTTCTATCACCAATCAGATTTTCTCAAAATAGTTTATTAGATATGAGACTTGCTTTTGTTTCTTGCTTTTTTCCAATTAAAAGTGGAAAGATAAGGCATCCGATTAGTGAATATAAATTAAAAGCATCAAAAATATTTCAAAATTTTCCAAAATCGTTACTATTATATATTTTTACAACAAGTGAAGGAAATAAAATTTTAGAAGAAGCAAAATACATCAATAACAGTAAGCAATCTGCATTTTATAATATAAAAATCATTACAAAATACCAATCAGTATTTGAAATTCCTGAAATTTTGAAGTACAAACGTGAATACGAAGAAATCAGTGAAATAATGAATCGTGAACCTTTATACAAACACAATAAAAGAAATATTAGTTTAGAGATAGGTTCAATATGGAATTCAAAACTCATCTTTTTGAGAGAAGTCATCAATCAATACAACATTTATGCCAAATTAATTTTTTGGATTGACATCGGTATATTTAAAAACGACGAATATTTTCATAAAAATCAATCACTTATATGGCCAAGTATTGAACGCATTGAAAAAATATTTTCTTTTCAAATTGACTTAAATTCATTGAATATTGAATACACTCAAAAAATGCTTTTTTGGGTATTTCCAAAAAAAATCCAATATAAAAATTCATTGGAAAAAATAAATTTAAGTGATTATGATGTTTTTATTCATGCGGCATTTTTCGGTGGTCCACGTCAAGTTTTTTTGAACTTTTTGAATGAATATTGGAAAATTCATGACACTTTAATAAAACAAAAGCAATTTGTCCTAAGAGAAGAGTTTATCTTCGCTGCTTATGTAGTGTTGAATAAAGAAAAAGCATTCTTTATTAACATGGGAGGTTCTAAATGCTACATATTCCATTCTTCAATCGGTTTTATATCAAAATTTAATTTATGCAACTATAAAAATAAACTTTTATTGTATGCTAAAAAGGGTAAAATACTGTATCCTGTTTACTACTCTTTAGATAGTTGGTTATAATGTAATTAAATTTATGATTTATTATTTTTCAAGAATATATTTGCTTTAACTCTGGCCAAATTGGAAAAGGAAACGCATCTGTTATTTACAAAATCTTGCAGATCTTGCCATCAATTCATTTGGCAAAAAACGGTTCAATCATTCAAAGAATCATCCCATATGTGAAATACAAATGTGATGGCCCATTGTTTCAAATGCAAACAGATGAAGCTTTCAATATTTCCTACAATCGATTGAAAACTAAGATGCAGTTAGCAAAGATGGCTGAGTTATATACGGCGAGATATGCAGCAAAACAAGAAAAAATCTTGTGAATATTTAAAAAAACTGCGTAAACTAATGATGGGCAAAGGAGTAGATGAAGTTCTCATGGACTAAGATGAAGCAATTTTCTACAATAGAAGAAGATCAAAAAAAGATGAAAGTCATTTCAATGTTCCATTATGGACTCTTTTTAATCGAAGGAAATTGAATTGAAAAAAAACGGGAAAAAAGCATTGAATATTCCATTCAAAAAGAACGTGATCAATATGTTGTTGATATAAAAAATATATGTGCACAATCTGTTTTCTGTGTGAGTTTTAGTAACTACTTCATATTTTAATAGTATCGATGACGTATTAGTGAAGCACTTGCATCATATATTCTATAGAATAATATTATAATGAAATCTGACTCCTCATAATACATCGATCCTGTCATAAGCTTCAAAATTTCGCATTTATTCATTGTTTTTCAATATTGGAATCAGATTTATGCCTTTCAGCAATTGACTTTCTATTATGATGGTTGTATCTATTCAAAATTTTTAATGCCTCTTTCTTTCAATTTTTTGATTTTATAAACCATCCAATTTCTAGCGTGATTCTCATATTTGTCTCACTTTGGGATAGGCCAACAAAAATAGCCAGAAAGCTGATATGAAGGATTCTAAAGATAATCGCTTGTATGAAATAATTTGACTTAAATCATCCAAAGAATCATAATCATTTTGAGAAAAATTCGATAAGTAAATAATAATCCAGATGTGAAACTGCTGCAAGTAATAATCTTTATGGGTTTTCAATTTCTGCATTTGAAATTCATGAAGGTTTTTTTTTTTTTTATAAATGAGACAAAATCTCAAATGAATCATGAAATAAAGAATCGTATCTGAAAAACTCCAAAAGAAACTTCCAAACGATTGTAATGATACAGCAAGCATTGACCAAGAATTGGATGAGCTCAATAAGGATTCAGATATCAAAGAAACTCAAGATGAACTTTTTCGACTCACAAGTAGCATTGAAGATTTCAAAATTGACTAAATAAATGAAGATAAAATCAATTATCATTGCAAAGCTTCCAATAACTCTAAAAACATCAAAGACAAAGTTAACCAAAATCTTTCAGACACACAAGAAGATATGGTAGTAATTGAAACCAACTTTTTGGCATTAAAAACAAATTTTTTATTGAATTAATTCATATTAATATTAAAAAAAAAAAATATTAGAAAATTTCCATAACGTAAGTGAGTAAGAATTATAAAAAAGTTTTTATATGATTAATACAAAGTAATTTAACCTGACTTTTTTTCTTTCAGCTCTTATAAAAAAGAATGATAAAAAAATCAAAAAAAGTTATATCAAAAAGTTATGTGTTAAAATTATAGAATTATTTGAGAGTATTATGATTTCAAGTCATCATTATATAATATAAATAATAATATATTTTCTGATAAATAAATAAAAATTAGATTAATCCAAATGAATCGCATTCCTGTATTGCCAAAAGTAACTTATTTTTTAATTCTTCTTCATTTGAGTATGAAGGGAGGTCCATTGTATTAAAGCAAGTGTGAGTTTGAGGAAGGCTATTCTCGTCACCTCCTGCAGCAATTTTCAAAGGGAACCCGGTAATCTCAACAAATTCCTTGAATCCATTTGCTGGGATTCTCTGAGAACCAGTCATAAAACTGAGTAATTTAGAAAGCTTTTCATTATCCCAACTTCGAATTACATTAAAGAACATTTGAATGGCAGGATGATCTGCTGTGTATGGGTATTCGAAAACCGTATTTTCAATGAAGTCTTCCACATCAAAGTCTGTTACACCACAGACAAGCAAATCAAATTCCTTTGGTGTGAAGCAGCAGATTATATAATGAGGAATCAAACAGTTAAAACCTTCACAAAAAGCATCAATTTGTTTTTCAATTTTTGTACGAAGAACATATTTGAAATTCAATTCAACAAATTCGGCCTTGTTTTCATTTGTCACTTTTATTTTACTTCCATTTTCTTTCAATGGAATTGTTTCATGAACGCCGAGTTTTTCAGAGTCAATTTCAAAATACATATCGAGTGAATCGACATCGTTATCCAAAAGCCAAGTCAAGCTATTAAAAAGTTGTTCATCAACGTATTCCAGATCTTTCAATGCTAACTTTTGATGAAGAATTTGCTTGATGAATGATGTCGTTAAATGAGCATCAATACATTGACCTTCCATCAATGCACGTGCAACAAAAATTCCTGCATATCTAAAATGTTCAAGATATAAAGGTTGTATATTTGAAACGTCACTTGGTTGGTATGTCATTTTGCTAGAACAATCAAATAAACCGTATTTTGTATTGAATATTTCTTTTGCTAACTTTGACATCCATTCACGTGTTGGACCTCCCATATCAACTGTTTTTCTATTGCGATCAAAAATGACATATAACTTTTTCTTTAGATCATTTTGATTTGCAAATCTCATCGATTCAAATGACGTTTCAAGGATACGCATTGAACTGACATTTAAG